ATGTGTCACTACGAGTGTTACATGAAACATTCGTTTCGCAACACTATCAATGATTGTTCAAATAACAAGAGCTCTACTGAAGACCAGTTAAACAGGCATTACAAAAGATTTTGTTCGTATAAACGGAATATATAAATGAAATTTCATTGTAATAATATTGTTTCTAAATTTTCTATTACACCAAAAGGTTAGGTTAGGTTAGATAGTAATATAAATGAAAGTAAATGAAGTTTCATTGTACCAGTACTGTTTCGTTATTTTCTATTATACCAAAAGATTACTTGATTAAAACTTAGGTTCTTGTATGGAAAATATGGAAATAAAGAAATAGGAACAGTACTTATACATGAAGTAATAATTTGATGACTTTGTTGCGGGCATACGGTACGCCATTTTGTGATCGGCTTAGGCGGCAAATTCAAAAGTCACGTAAATAGAAATATCGCACTGAAAATCGCGTACTTTGAGAAACCACCGTAAATATCTCAGCTTCAATTTGATATCGATATATCGGTTCAGCGTGAAACGGCATCAAAATTTCGATAAAATGCCAAAGCCGAGAAAATATTTGTATTTTCATATATCGATAAGACGTTATGCCGGTACATCGATATTTCGGTTTTTATAAGGATTACAGAGGTGCAACCGAAAAATATCAATATAATACATACAACTGTACTTTAATGATTTGGTAATTACTGTTAAATAAATATGTAATACATATATATCCTTTTAATGAAATTTTTATTTTTTTTTACTGGCTAATTTATCTTTCATGCTTTTTTACATAAAATATTTATGTACGAATATTTGATTTACAAAAGAATGAATTTGATTTGCTAAATGATGAATTTGATTTGCTAAAGGATGAATTCGATTTGCAAAATAGTGAATTTGATTTGTAAAAGGGTGAATTTGATTTTCAAAGTAATGAATTTGATTTGTAAAAGGATGAATTTGATTTGCAAAAGAGTGAATTTAAAGTACGAGACCTGTACCGGTATTTTAAATTTCAGTAGGAGCCCCTATTTTTAAACGTAGAAACATTTTTGGTAGCCTTTTACGTGTGTGTGTCGGTATTACCGAATTTCGGACGAGCCTTTTTCCATTGAAAGTGACTCTTAAAATCTATTGTAAGTGATTTTGTGATATAAGTAACGCGAAGATGCTACAATAGTTGTCGCGATTGCGTGATCCTTCGACGTATTACAGATAATTTTCTATAATTAATACCGCGTTATATGGAACCCGCGTTATAAGAAAATCAGAATTAATTGAAATCGAGAAACGCGTTTTATGTAAACCGCGTTATGATAAACATAGTAATTAGACAAATCAGATTAATTTATACCGCGTTATATGGAAACCACTGCCGCGTTATATAGAAATGGCGCTATAGGAAATTCATAAATAATATAAATTGAACGAATTCGTACCGCGTTATATGGAATCTCGGAAATAAATAAATTGTACATAAATCAGATCTATATTGTAGAGACTTGGGAGGTGGTAAATATAATAATAGAACTATTTATTAAATAAGAAAATAATAATACAATATGTGGTGACGATTAAGCCTACGAATATAGATATATCGACTAGAACTACAACTTAAGATTACAACTCGACTTAACAACACAATTACAACTCAGCCCGTTACAACTAAAATACAACTCTCTTCTAATCACACGAGGTGGAAATCCTGCGATACTACAATATGAAAACTGTATTCTCAAGGTATCAAGTTGCGATTGATACGGTTAATAAATAACATTTTATAATAGAATTGGCAACGAATATGTAGAATATTAAATATTTGAAATTAGGTTTATCGAATATAATACATAGTTCGTATAATAAAATTATAAATTAAAAAAATTGTTTACATCAAAGAAACTTAATTTTATACATATTAGTGAGGCATCCAAATTTGAAATAGGATCTAAAATATCAAATTAAACGATTTATTACTTTGTTTCATATCATTATCTTTTGGGCACCTATCAAAGTCCTTATTAAAATCTTTTCTATCGTAAGTTCTCTTATCCATCAATGTTAATCCATATTTCGTCTTATTTATGCTGTTACAGATCGCGTTTACAATTCTTGTTCTACAAGTTCGATCCTTAGATTGCCGAAGATTTCCAATCGTCGTTGAATAGATTTAACTCTATTGAAAGATTGACAGCTCTACTCCCTGAACTTCGGTGGAAGACATCCCTTTTTATAGTAAACAGCCGATTGTTATTTTGTCCAAACATTCTGGAAGATGCTGGATTGTTCTTCCCTGAAGTTACGATCCGCTCTTTTGACTTAGCCGAATACCGGGTAGATATGAAAATTTCGTAACAATATTTATTTCTGTAACAAATATTTTATTCTCAAATACTCTTATGAAACCACTTTAGTCTGATCAGAATTCGGACATTCTTATCATGTGGTTCAAGGATACCACAATTAGATTGTTTTATTATTCGTCATCACTGTCAAATACTTGCAATCTAACCTTTTTTATTCTAATTGACCGAAAATCTTCCTCACTTTGCAAATTTTCTTCTTGGTTTTCAAATGTAGTTCTTCATTTTGTAGTTCTTCCAAAACTTTCTTATATGGAGAAGAGCAATTTTGAAATTCTTTTTAAAATTTTGCACTGTGCATCGTTGAAATATCATTTTGAGTTAAGTAACCTTCTAATTCTTTAGCCAAATCCAACCTTTTTCTTTATATCATAATTGAAGTTTGAAAGGAGTTCGTTATCCGTGTGTTCTTCCACAAATGAATTTGAGGTAGACTCATTAATTAATTCCACAAATTCTTCCTCATTTAAACTCTATTCCCGAAGTAGTTCTTCTATATCTTTATGGTTTATATCTGAAAATCCTTCACTGCTCAAAGCAAAAGCAATGTCTACTATTAAGTGGAGCTGAAATATCATTTCCCTTTTGAACCATTTGAAGTAAAAGAGGCTCTGTGCATCGTTGAAATATCATTTTGAGTTAAGTAACCTTCTAATTCTTTAGCCAAATCCAACCTTTTTCTTTATATCATAATTGAAGTTTGAAAGGAGTTCGTTATCCGTGTGTTCTTCCACAAATGAATTTGAGGTAGACTCATTAATTAATTCCACAAATTCTTCCTCATTTAAACTCTATTCCCGAAGTAGTTCTTCTATATCTTTATGGTTTATATCTGAAAATCCTTCACTGCTCAAAGCAAAAGCAATGTCTACTATTAAGTGGAGCTGAAATATCATTTCCCTTTTGAACCATTTGAAGTAAAAGAGGCCTTCAACATGCATTAACCATTTGCACTCGAGAGATGACCATCAGTCACTATTAGATAAAATTTCGAAGATCGATATTAATTAATATGTCAAATTTAAGATAATGTAACGGTGTGCGAGCTATCGAAATCAAATAATTCTACCTGTTAATTATTATACGATTTCTCATTTATTACTGAAAGAAATATCGCCAGCTTTATAGCAGAAAATCTTTGAACTCCTACTCATCTTTAGCCAAAAGATCGTCGAGTGCAAAGGGTTAATTGTTGACGATTTAATTTCTGCACAAGCTAATAACACAGTTCGAATGCAATCTCAAATAAAAAGTTCTTGTCAAACTTGAAGAAGAGTTTTACCTTCATCATTTTTTAATCGGTTGAAAATGTCTTGAAAAAATTGGCGTATGTAGTAAATTTTGTGCGAAAAACGCGTTATAAGGAGATCATGTTATAGGAGAACTGTCCCAATTTTCGCAGCGCGTTATATGGAAATCGCTGTATAAAAATACCGCGTTATAGGAGACTTGACCGTATTCCTGACACGGTCTCGATCTTTGATCGTTTAGACGTGTGAAGTACGGGTATATTCTTTTGTTTGTGTATACGTACAGTGCACTGTACGAACTTTTCACATTGCAGCAACGTGCAAAGAAGCATTTCTGGCCCATTTCGACTTGCATCGACTTAAACCATTGTGACGTCAATTTTAGTTCTTTTCGCGTATTTCCTCAGCGTATTCCTTACTCGAATTTCGGTTTGTCGTTAAGATAAAAAAATCTGTTTACTCGGAATTCAGATATATTCTGATATTTTCATTTTGCATTTCAAAAATTATTCGAAATGTTATTCAAGTTGCATGAATCACTCTGCATAATCATTGAATTATATAGAGTCGAGCATGAGGAATAGGAGTTCCTGTGAATATTTCTGTTGTTTTCTCAAAATCATGCTTTCGTTTTTGAACAAACGTGTACAGTTATGAAAAAGGAAATTGTTCAAGGTCATTATTTTACATCTATTCAAAGTCAGGGCTGCGCATGTATTAATATTGTAGATTATCATTTTGAATATATAATTTGATTCGATTAAGATAATTTCTCACAATGATTGTTAATTAAATCTGAATTTCTCCAGCCAATGTCACTTCAAGGACATAGTATGCTAAATCTCTGAATTTGTGTTAACGTTGGTTATATTATAATAAAAAAATGTATATTATATATTATAATATATTGTAATTACAAGAAATATATGTGTACATATATGTATAAGTATATTATAATATATCATAATATAATCAAATAATAAATACATTGTAATAAAAAAGTATATGTTTCCATTTAAAAGAACCTCAAAATCATGTAAATGAACCTTGATGATCTTAAAATTATCAAATAAAAAGTAAAAAAATATCGAAAATTGTTTTTTCTATCACTATATACATCTTCTCAGACAGTGAAACGTTATATTTTGATAAGCTCTTTGATACAATCATAAGTAACGAAAATATTTAATAATCCTGTTTCTCGTCTGTATAATCCTTTTTAATTATATTGTTCCTAAAGTGTAATTTACTTTATACGATGTCTTCAACAAAATTTAATGTGTCATAAGATTTGGTATTCTTATACATAATAAATGGTAATTAAATTGTAGATGTTAATGCATGATATATTTACATATTATAACTCTAATTTAAAAATTTGTTCTGTTACTAGATTAATGTATCAAGTAACACTGGTGTGAAACTGACACGGCATAATGTTGTCTGCAACGAAAGTAACGACGGATAAATCAATTGAACGTGAAATCCATTCTGATTCAAAAGATACTTCGATAATTATGAAGAAGCTAAAGCATAACACACCTGTTTCTCTTGACAATTATAAAACAAATGAAAAATGTGAAATGAAAGTACAATTAAAGGATCTGAAAGAAATTGGAAAGGAAATTGATAAAGAAATTGAGAAGAAAACTGAAAAAGAAACTGCGAAGGAAACTAAAAAGGAAACTGAGAAAGAAAGCGAAAAGGAAATTGAGAAAGAAATTGAGAAGGAAACTGAAAAGAAAACTGAGAAAGAAAGTGAAAAGGAAACTGAGAAAGAAATTGAAAAGGAGAGTGAAAAGGAAACTGAAAAGGAAACTGAAAAGGGGACTGAAAAAGAAACTGAGATAGAAAATAAGAAAGAAAGCGAAGAAAAAACTGAAAAAATAACTGGAAAGGTAACTGAAGAAGAAGAAAATAAAATAGAAAGTGAAGAAAAGGCTGAAAAAGAAAGTAAAAAAGAACGTGAAGAAGAAACTGAAAAGGAAACTGAGAAGGGAACCGAAAAAGAAACTGAAAAAGAAAATAAAGAAAAAGGTGAAGAAGAAACTGAAAAAATTACTGAAAAGATTATTGAAAAAGAAACTAAAATAAAAACTGGAAAAGAATGTAAAAGGCAAAGTGAAGAAGAAATCGAAAAAGAAACTAAAGCAGAGTCAGAAAAGAAAACTAATAAAGCAACTAAAAAAGAAGACGAAGAAGAAATTGAAAAAAAAATTAGAAAAGAAATTGGAAACGAAACTAGAAAAGAAATTGAGAAAGAAACTGAAAAAGAAATTGAAAAAGTAACTGAAAAAGAAACTAAAGAAAAAAGTGAAAAGGAAACTAGGAGAAAAGTTGAAAAAGAAAATGAAAAAGAATCTGAGAAAGAGACTGAAAAGGAAACGAAAAAGAAACAGGAAAAAATATCAGAAAAGAAATTGGAAAAGACGCAAATGCAAGATGAAAATTCGCTAGTTTTAAAACCAGAACATTCCAAGCCTAAAACCTTAGAGTCGAAAAATATCGAATCAAGGAAAGAAAGGGATAAAACGGAAGAGAAAGAAACAAAAAGTTTAAGCGGTGCTTCTTCCAATCAAACCAATGTTCCAGAGTGCAAAATGATTCCTATTACCGATAAATACGTAAGTTTTCACGTACACTTAATCAAATAAAATCGTTAGTTCATTCTTTTATGTTTACAACAATAATAACATTTTTAACATGCTACTTGAAAGAAGAAAAATAAGCTCAGGGCACTTAGATTTATAATTTTAGTTATATTACAGTTTATTATATTATTATATAGCTATATTAATTTAATTATATTGAAATTATTGCAGTACATAGGTATAATTTAAGCTACACGATATTGTATCTCATAACGTTTCTGATAATTTTATCAAACAAATTGTATCGCGTGCAATAATTTTTTGAAATTACTTTTGGCAGCAAAAAGTTGTTCGCTTTTAATCAAAACACGATAAGATATAATAAATACAATAATAGTATAATAATGAATAGTAACATAAATAATATAATACAAATTCGACATTTAAAATTTCATCTTAATTTTTCAAATTTTTATGGACACTGATACTTTTTATGCATTTATGAGGTATGGGATATATTTTGCTATTATTCTGTCATAATTTATAAAAATTAACTTTAATTACCATAAGTTCAGTGGGAAGTAAAGGAACTACTATAGTGCGTTCGAGAAAAGAAGGCACAGCGTGTTTACATCCTCACGGCTGATAAACTCCACTAACGCTCCCTCGTTCACAGGCAATGATCACTATTGGCCGAAAACGGTGACGAAGATCATCGGCAGGCCGTAGTGAGATCGAGTGAGATAGGATATGGCAACTTCGTCCTTAATTTTCTGTTTCTTAATAGCTTCGAAGCTACGCCGATGCCGTCATATCCTATTTCACTCGGTCCCACTATGACCAGTTATGATCTTCGTCACCATTTTCGATCAACAGTAGTCAATGCCTGTGATCAAGGAAGAACTAGCGAAGTTAATCAGTCGTGAGGATGTAAACACGCTGTGTCTTCTTTTCTCGAACGCACAGTAGTTGGATTTTATTTATATTTATTGGTAACACGATATATCGACAGAAAAAGACAATACATAAAAAATATTATCGTAAAACTGATAATACTAAATACTATTATATATATATACACATTTAATTATATATACTTAGTATATAAAGGAACTGTACTAGTTAATAAATATATATATATATATATATATTTATTAATAAAATAATACTAAATAGATACTAATACTAATACCGTAATGTACATGACAATATAGAGAATATATAAGTTTAACCCTTTGCACTCGAAAGGCGACTCTCAGTCGCCATTTAATCAAATTCTAAAGATCGTTGTTAATTAATATCTCGAATTTGAAATTGCCCAATGACGTGTGGAGATAAAATAATTCAACGTCTCACAATTAATTTGTACTTCTTATTTACCGTTTTCAAAATATCGTCGACTTTATCACAGAAAATTTTCGAATTACTATGTTTCTGTAACGAAAAGATCGCCGAGTGCAAGGGGTTAATATACATTATACTAAATCTCGTGTATGTATCCTAACTAAAAATGAATAAATTGAATGAATCATTATAAATTACAAGTTAGAAAATATTCGAGATTATAAAAATTAGAAGTAACATTTTTAAAATAAAAGAAGTAGAAGAACAGTCGTATTCGTGGTATTAATAATGAGATTTAACAGCAGATGGTATTGTGATTTAGCGTGTTACAGAAAAAAGTCCATATATTATGGTTGTAACAGTATATTTATATCCAACTAGTGCAACTAACGGCGATGTGATTGATCTGCTTTTCAAAAATGGTAAAAGAACAAATGTCGGATGACTTGCTACAACAAGTATGTTGATTGATTGACAAATTGACCTGATAGACCATGCGCTAAAATGCAACATGACCAGTGAACACGTTTCAAATTTATAACCATGAAGCTACGTGTTTTGATTCATATACACGTGTTTTCTCGACTAATCTTGTCCTTTATTGTAGCTTTAGGATCGTATAAGAAGGGATCGACTAGAATAATATCGCGATACTTAACAGAATAACATAAGCTTTATTAACAGAATAACGGATTAATGTAATACAATGGCAACTATGCAACGCTCTAACAACTTTCTTGCAACTGACTTCTAAGACTTATTTCTATTTTTATGTATGGCTTTCGTGTATCGAGCATGAACCGAAGCATTTCTTCGCTCTCTTTCGTATAAAAGTTTTCGCTAAATTTCTTTGGGGCCACGTATAACTGACAAGACGAATCCTCAAGCATAGAACTGACAAGGAGAGTGCAAGTCCTTCGAGTTACTGATTTAATTGAAACTTCGCAGGTTTGTAGATTTAGTCATCCAGTTCAAGAAAATGTATCACTATAAGGGCAACTACTCGATAGTTTTTGAGATATTTATGATTAAAGCTTTATTAGTTATCAAGTAGCATTGTGGCCTACCGGCAACATCCGAAAATTGTCACCAACGTGGGAATTTTCGGATTTCGCCATTAGGCCACAACGGCATTTGATAAATATTCGAAATAAACCTGTAATTAAGGCAATAATAAAACTCTAATCATAAATATCTCGAAAACTATCGAGTAGTTTCTCTTATAATGATATATTTTCTTAAACTGGATGACTAAATCTACAAACCTACAAAATTTCAACTAAATCTATGACCCAAAGGACTTGCACTCTCCTTGTGAATCTCAACAAATGGCAGCACGATAACTGTTCTACCGAGTACAACACCTCGCCAAATACCTAAGTCGTCTACAGACGATTCCGAATTTCGACGTCGAAATTGGAATACTCATGATCGATCGTTAGAGCACCATAGACGTCGTTCGGCGAAATACTAACGAATCTGTGACGGGACTTTCCTGTACACTGATGAAATAAAGGACGTTGAATCTACTGCCGTCTTGGCGCGCATTTGTCTCACCGAGAATAAACTTTTCTTGTGAAATTATTCCGAAATATTCTCTTGAAAAGACCAAGTTACAAGGACTACGTATATTCCTTAATTTTTGCGAGATCTGCGAGAAACAAGTTAAATGCACGTATTCATTTTAGTGACTGAGCTATTTTATTGAATGGTGTTGGGTTTATACACATTTTGAATTTTGATGGTAGCGTTTTGAAGTATGGACTCTACGGTTGATGTTCACAGATTGTTGTTGAGTGCATCACCTGACAAATATGATAAGAAGCTGTCTCATAGTGGGGTTTCGGGGTATTGTATGACGGATGGTTACAGAATGTTTGTTGATGTGTCATGAAAAGAAGGTTGCTGCACACGAGCATGAACCGAAGCATTTTTTCGCTGTCTTTCGTATACCGGTTTTCGCTTAATTTCTTTCGGACCTCGTCTAACTGACAAGACGAATCCCCAAACATAGGGCTGAGTCTCAACAAATCACAGCGCAATAACTGCTCTGCCGAGTACAACACTCCAGGTGCCTAAATCGTCTATAGACGATACCGAGGTTCGACCTCGAAATTGGAATACCCATGATCGATCGTTAGAGTGCCATGGCTGTTGTTCGGTGAGATCCCAACGGCAAATCCAAAAACGCCCCTACGGCAAAATGGGGCCCGTGCGATGACCGGTCACGAGGGTCGGCCATCTAGTAGTTTCACATTGTTTTGTGCCTTTCGACCCACACGAGACTCCTAGAGATATCGTTGCCTCCTTTGACCAGAAAAGATACGACCTTAGAGGCGTTCAGGCGTAATCCCACGGATGGTAGCTTCGCACCACCCACCTCTCGATCAAGTGCGTGAACCAAATATCTGAACTTGCGGTTTCTCTCGTACTGAGCAGGATTACTATCGCAACGACTAGTCATCAGTAGAGTAAAACCTGTCTCACGACTAACTCTGCTAAATTCAAATTAACTTTCAATACTGACTCCTCGCATCCTCGTACCCTTGTTTTAACCTTACACTCTGTCTTCTTTTATACTCACAAGGAGAATGCAAAGCCTTCGAGCCACCGATTTCGTTGAAACTTTGGATATTGGTAGATTTGGTTCTCCTGTTTATGAATATATGCCATTATATGAGTAGACACTCGATAGTTTTCTAGATATTCGTAATTAAAAATTCATTATGTCAATAAGTAGAGTATAATCATGAGAATCACGATAATTACCAAGGTTGATAGCGACGTGAGGGTAACGTTCTGGAATTATTGCAGTCTGTAGACCAGAGTTCGATTCCCCATGTGAAGGAAATATTTCAATATTTCAATGAAATCAGTGACCTGAAGGCCTTCTCCTTGTCAGGCATTCTTCCTCCATCATGCATTTCTCATGCGACCTCGGTGAACCAAGTATATACTTCAAGCACTCAGGATGCATTCGTAAACTTTCGTTCCTTTCTCGCAGGTCTCGACTCTATCAAAAATATCCTTAGAATCGATCCTCTTGCTCACGGTCACTTTCGTCCTATGTTTCAAACATTCTTAACATTCTTTTAGGGCCGCACTTTTTCCAATCCTACATTACAAAATCATAAAATTCAATCAAACATTATCTCAAACAGTATCTCTACATATATGCAGTTCCGTATAGTAGAGAAGGGGTATGTTTTGGAATATCTTGGTCGAGGCTAAGGATTGGCTATCGGTGGATTTTGGTTTGTTTCGGATGATGCATGTCTGGTTTTAGACAGAGTTGGCTCTTGAATTATTGGTCTAATTCAGATGCCAATTGGAGACGATAAGGTCATCTTTACAATACTTTTCCTTTAACCAATAGACGTACCTGCATTTTTTAAATCAGACTTTACTCTCTTTGCGACGAACAAAACTGAATCTACATTGTGTTAATATGTGAACAGCTACTATAACTTTACGAGGAGAAATCGTAGAATAACATTTGCGGGGTCAATATAAAGAACAAAATCTGTACCTTTACATCCCTTCACTGTTTCTATAATTTCTACTTAATTGTCTTTAGTGGAAAACAGACAATTCTTCAACTTAAGAAATTGTAAAAAATCAAAGCTTGTAGTTTAACAAATTTTTTTGCGGAACCAAATTATGGAGAATGGGCCAATTGAGTGGTCAATTTTCGAAAATCACATAAAAGTTGAAGTGCGATTTTTCGTTACCAAGTGATTTCTTGGGAAATCTACTCTGATCTGCATCTCAACAGATGAAATGCTTTTGATATTTAATAAAATCTTTAGGGTCTAAAAATTTATAAAAATTTATAAGATAAAAAGATTGGACACAGAAAATTATTGATTAGGAATCGTGTTTTTGAAAAAATTCACACTGTTGTAACTTCTTGAATAAAATTACAGCGTTTATTATAATATGCAGAGAACCATACGTATACAATTATATAGTAACGAATATATTAGTGACATATGTGTACACACTTATGCAGATACAAAGGAAGAATATAAGTGTCATGGATTACAATAATATTGAATAATAATGAATTCAAGACTGAACTTTTCAGAAAACAGAACATTCTTTTAACCCTTTGCATGCTTGCAGTCTGATCAGAATTCAGTCATTGTTACCACGTGGTTCATAATGGGAAATATTACAATTAGATTGTTTTATTATTCATCATTACTGTCAAATATTTGCAATCTAACTCTTTCTTTTTCTAATTGACCGAAAATCCTCTTCATTTTGCAAATTTTCTTCGTGGTTTCCAAATGTACTTTTATTTTGTAATTCTCCCAAAACCTTTTGATACGAATCCAAGCAATTTTGAAATTCTTTTTTAAATTTTGCACAGCGCATCGTTGAAGGTTCAGAAAAATTTAACATATCGAATAAGTGCTGCCATAGATAAATTTTTCAATCCATTTGAGTTAGAATGTTCTTATATACGTTCTTAAAAACGTGTTATAAGGAGATCGCGTTATAGGAGAACTGTCGCAATTTTTGCTCCGCGTTATATGGAAATCGCGTTATAACAACACCGCATTTTTAGAATGTAAAGGATCTCATGACGAATAACTGAAATAATTAACTATTCAATATAATATTTTCAGCAAGTCCAGAAGCCTTCAAACGTTGCAGTTCCTCGAAAATGTCCCCCTCTATCTGCGCCGCTTTTGAGCGAACGTCCACTTGTTCTAGCGACGCATCTTGTGCCTTCGCTGCCGATTAGCTTCTTCGAAGTGCTCGTGGAAGCAATAGAAGTCGCTACAGGAAAACCAGTGGTGCTGCTGCACGAATCCAGAAGCGATAGACCAGTCGCGAAAGACGTTGCGGATATTGGTATGTTACCATGTCAAACAATCTCGTATATTTAGTAAAAAATAGATAACAGTATGTACTGTAGAATGCCAAAAACAGATTTTATTTTGTCTTCAACTTACAGAAATAACGTGTACGTGATTCCTTCTTTTATCGAAGGAATATCGGGTCTGCGCGAACGGTTTGAGACACCGGAAACGAACAGAACGAAATGAACAGAATGAAACGAACACCAAACGCGGAAACTGATTAAACGCGAGAAAATAATATCGAAATAACGTAACTTTAACACACGGAAAACACGCTTCTATTCGTCTCTCTCCGACACCGAACGACTCACGTCCGTCCCGGTCACAAACTATATTCGCGAGGATTCTTCGAGGCTTCTCCACTCAGGACTCTCCCTGTGTCGCCGAGGGTCCTATTTTTGTGCCCTTTGCCAAGCTCCACGACGTGCTTTTATCAATCGCTAATTGGCTGATCCGATTCAGCCGATTCGCGATTCGCCCCCGTGAAAATTACGTCACTGTGCCGATTCGCGATTCGCCCCTTGTGAGAATACGATTCCGCTGACCTGCGTTTCGCCCCCTGCAAAGACCTCGCAACTCGGCTAGCTTGTTTCTGAAAATAGCCTTCCATAACGGTATTAGTCGATTTTCGATTTTTTCTTAAAATAAGACTCTGCATCGGCATTGGCCGGATTTCGATTTGTTTTTCGAAAAATAGTATCCCACGGTACTAAAACTTTTATCTCGATGACACCCTTTCGTATCATTATAGGATCAGGCATAGCTGAATATTTTCAAAAATATTTGTCATATTAGAGGATCAAAGGTTTGACTTAATTTACCTTCTTGTATGTACAGATGTCAACAAGATTTTAATAAGATATCGAACCTTTTTTGAATGAAACATTTGAACTGATTCGGTGACCGTAAGTACTCAAGGTGAATCAAGGTCACAGATAAAGGAAAAGCAGTTACGTATTTTCTGTAGCATTTATTTCTAGCATTTTAGTGCTTTTCGTTCTGTACTCGAGGTGAAGGGTAAGAGTGCACTGAATTGTACAATAGAACACGAGTAATGGCACAACTACTTATAAGGATAAAGCAGTGGTGGATTTAGCTCTCGAGAGGCCCGAAGCATTACAAATTTCCGCGATCTTATTAAAATGAAATTATAAACAATCACAACGAGCGTTCAACGAGCAAAGGACGACCGATAGTGTTTTATAATTACTACACTGACTAAATTAAAAATAGTAACAATTCTCAAAACGCTAAATGGTGTGCGTGTTTCACAAAAGGTCTCGTGAAATGGCATAGAGAAAAGAGGAATAAATCGATAGCTTTATTTGTTCGTCTCATCAACAGTCTTTGTCATGTGATCAAACTGTTGCATGCCACCGATTTGGCCAACAATTTGAAAACACAGAACCTATAACAGGTATTAAATAGGGCGTCTCCCTTCCACTCTGACGAATTAAACCTGCGTACTTCCCGCGATACTCCTTGCGAGGAACGCACAGTACCGGCTTGAACTTGATCTCCATTGACGCAAATCTGGAATTTACGTCATTTCCAAATCTGGAATTTCGGCATTTTTTTCAACATATAGCCCTACAATTTTGGCTTTATCGATTTTAGTTTATTTCTTACTGGGATTTAAAATATTAAAATACAATTCTTTTTAATCATATACAGAATTTTCATGTACCGAATAATACAATGGAATCCGCTTAGTATGATCATCTTGGAATGTGTAATCTTTAATCCTTGAAGTCGGTCTCTCGCAGAACGGTAACAGGGTCTCTCAAGACCCCACACCGATATTCCACTAACACATGCTCGAGACCCCACCCTTATTCCACGCTTTAGGCTTTGCGCCTAACTTTTTGGTGCATGATATTGTCTAATAATATTTATAATATTTATAATATTCGACGACAAAGGATACAAAATTCTGGGTGTTATTGCAAATCACATGCATCTCCGATTGACACCCAATTTTGCGAGAAAGGGAGGAAAGTGGGTAGATACTAAATATAAAATATTATTTTTGAGAAATAAATAGTTTCCGAGATATCAGTGAAAAGCTTTTGACATTGAACATAGAAATTCGTTTATACAGACGTGACACGTGGTTAAAACGACCGTTTTCTCTAAAGTAAATAGCAGTCACCGAGTATCGAGTAGTCGATGACTCATACTGTTACACCAGCTCAGTTTCTAATGGGTGTCCCAAAATTGACTAAGAAAATTTTGATAGGAAACACGGATTTTTAATAAAAAATTATAAATGTTGCTCAACAATGAAAATGCGTTGTTCTTTCGTGTAGTGCTCCATTTTTAATAATCCTGAACTATCAGTTATCACGCTATCTTTTTTCTCGTTGGCAATACTGTATCGCACAAATGGCGCGAAATTCAAATCTTGCGTAAATTTTGGGTACCTTGTATACAGTGTGCTACCTAAAATCTATTTGTTTTTTTTTTCTTTTTAAGCCGAATTATGTAATTTTAAATAACGATAGTTGTTAATTAGGTTTAGTTATAGTTCTCGAGATACGTCTTCGAGTGTACCTAAACAGAATAAAATGAATAAATTTTAAATGGGATATGCCATAGAAACTGTTACGAGACATGCACATCGAATATCTAATACTTGGAGACTGAAAATAGATTTCTATGCATAATATCAAAAATGTTTCGTTAATATCTCAGGATCTATCCATTTCTCGAAAATAATATTTTACATTTAGTATCTACTCAACCCCTCCTTCTTTCGGTCAGAAATGTGGTTTAGAAGAATATCCGAAATTTTCATTACGAAATTTCATCCATTACAAATACGTATAAACAACTCTTCTCGAAAAGGTCATAAAAATTATTTGAAAATTTTGTCAAGTGTTATTTATGTTAGTGGTAGATGAAATTTAATAACAATAAGAACAATTATTTATTTAATTACAAAAATTATCAAACACAAATATTGGGTTGAAATATAATTATTTTATCACTATCACATGCTCACACGTCTTCTTCTCTCTATTAATATTCAATTGCAACTAACCTATGCCAAATCACTCTTTTTTTTTCTTTCTTCTTTCATACATTACATTGACATACACAATTCACACAGTACTTCAATCATTACACGCATACTCATTGTATATCGTCAATAGGTCGTCCTCAATTGGCGACGGTTAATGACGAACCAAATTTCTTGAGGAACGTTGTGTTTATAGTGGACTGTATTTTATGTAGTAGTTCCGGATAACTCTTTTGAACTCTTCGAATGTTATTGACTGACTGATTGGTACTGACTCTCTCGGTAGTTATATAATCCTGGTCTCTCTGCTGATTGGTTGCTACGATGTTGGGGGTGTATGTTAACTTCAGCGTCCTTCGGTGGTGGTGGTTGTTTAAACAATCTAGATAATTGTGCTTGTCTTCTTGAAGGGTGATATATAGTTGTTTGTTGCGGATTACCTAAGTGGTGGCTTAGGTGCTAAAGAAATCAAAGGGCGCTGACAGTAAGGATATAAACAACCTTCTACTTGGGACATTGCGATCCTAGGGCCTCATCAATGGTACTTGAGAACTTTCAGAGTCTTCACACGGTCTATTCTAAACAAAGGGCCGAACGAAATACCGGGACGACATTCCAAGGCTTAACACTCATTTATCATAATAACCTGAATTCGTTAGATATTTCCATCCCATGCATACTTGTTCCACTCATTCCAATACATATATATTTAAAAATCTATGTAACCATTACCACAATTTATCGCTTATTTCATAGTGATAATGCTTTCCCATGTTTGTTGCGTTATATTACATACAATTATATTAAGAAGCCGAAAAGCTTCTTAAAATCTTCTTAGTATCATCTACAATTTTCTTCTCTCTAAAAGCTTCTTTCTTATAATCACTTTTAATAAAAACAACGATGTATTACAGATAAAATTACAGATACCTTTAATTTTCATAACAGTCTGATAAGATGTTGAGTAACTCTTGGATTTGAGGACTGCATGATGCCATCTGCATAGCATTGATTCATTTAATCGAACACAAAACTCAACCGGTATTTCTGACCATATTTTCGTGACTTCTTTCATTAAATCTGTTTTATTGGTAAAAGAATGACTTCCCGATTAATGTCCATCGTAATCCCACAGATGTTCTGTTAAAGGGGTTATAACGCAGAGGAACAGTAGTCAGTGGAAAACTGTGGAAAAACTGTATAGATCTTTATTCAACGGGCGAATGGTTAGAACTGGTCTGTTTAGGTTCTGTCAGTGGAAAACTGTGGAAAAACTGTATAGATCTTTATTGAACGGGCGAATGGTTAGAACTGGTCTGTTTAGGGCTACGCAGGTCAAAAGTCGTCTTCAGAAGACTGGTGACAAAAGACAGAACATAGGAGAAGGGATCGCCCCCACACCGCTGGGATGTAGAGTTTACTTCACTATTGAATTTTACCATAACATGTTCAATTGGGTTGTAGAAGCTGTAGAAGCAGACGAACATGATCGCTGCACACATTCCTCAGATTGCGTGTAAGGCCCCAGGACCCCTGTTGCTATGTTTAGCTGTGTTTAGGCAGCGGTACTGCCTTTGAGTCCATTCATTAGTGAATCACCCTGTATCATACAGTCTAGTCTCCGATAACGCGATTAATTCGTACCGCGTTATATGGAATCTCAGAAATAAATAAAATATATAAAAACTACATTCTCAAGGTATCAAGTTGCAATTGATACGGTTAATAAATAAAATTTTATAATTGAAATGGCAGTCTTACATATCTGAATTTAGGTTTATCGAATATAATACATAGTTCGTATAATGAAATTATAACTTAAAAAAATTGTTTCCAACAAAGAAACTTAATTTGATAAATATTAGTGACACATCCTAATTTAAAATAGGATTCTAACATGTTAAAATTAAACGATTTATTACTTTGTTTTATATAATTATCTTTGGGGTGCCTATCAAAGCCTTTATTAAAATCTTTTCTGTCATAAGTTCTTGTAACGATTGTACCATCAAAGCACGATTCGACAGTGTTCTGTCATTATGCCTGATTATTCATAAATATGCACATGGCAATTCGTATTAATCGAATAATTTCTTAATACTGTCAATGATGCTTGGACGTTGGCAATGATTTCTGAATGAGCTTGTTCAATTATCATTGTTTTATTGTTCATCATCACTGTCAAATATTTGCAATCTAACCCTTTTTTACTAATTGGCCGAAAATCCTCCTCGCTTTACAAATTTTCTTCTCAGTTTTCGAATATACTTTTATTTTGTACTTCTTCCAAAACTTCTTTATATGGAGCCAAGCAATTTTGAAATTCTTTTTAAAATTTTGCACTGCGAATCGTTGAAGGAACATTTTGAGTTAAATAACTCTTCATTTAAACTCTCTTCCTGAAGTAGCTCCTCTATATCCTCGTGATTTATAGCTGAAAATTCTTCTTTGCTCAAAGCAGAAGCAACGTTTACTATTGCCATTGATAAATTTTTTCAAATTATTTGAGCTGCTGGAATATTCTTGTACGGAAAATGCGTTATAAGAAAATCGTGTTATAGGAGAATTGTCCTAATTTTCGCTCCGTATTATATTAATAAAAATCGCATTATAGAAAACTTGACTATATACAGAAACAAGAAAGTGTCCTTTATTTCACACCCAAGGTGTTCAGTATCTCAAATTGGTACAGTATACTCAGAGAAAGCATCCACCGACCTTCAGGTGCCTTCGTATACAATGCTTTTGTCATGAACTCGTAGAGAAGTCTGACTCTTTCTGTGACAACTCGGTATATGTTATATAATCTAGGAGTCTAGGAATGACGTAGGGGGGACAGGCAAGAATACCATGCAAAATAAAGGATGATTGAAGTCTAAACTAAAGGATGACTAAAGAACTACTATTATCGATGCATTGGTGTATTTAAAAAAATTTGGTCGGAATTAGTAGATACACAACGGTAATAACGTCCATTTTTTAAGATTTTGGGCTTTGAGCACAATTCCACGAAATAGGGATTATTTATTGCCTCAATAAGGTATTTTAGGATGGCGAAACTGGTCTTGAGACACCGAAAATTCACGAAAGAACAAGAACACGATAACACAAACTCAA